TAAACTTGGCTGCATTAATTATTTTCTAAATAGCTCCAGTTCCTTTGTAATATCTGATGTAAGCTGTCATGCAGCACAGAATTACAGTGAACAGTTGGCTGAAAGATCTCTGAAACAGAGAAAGTCTCTTGTGAAAGGTATTTCTGATTTTAAAATTTGGTCCTCTGCAACTGTAATTATCAGAACTTAGACAGTAATTATGGTGTGACCTAGAAAGCAATCCTCAAAGAAGACGACAGGGTCCTGCATAAAGAACGATACCAGTGATAAAGTATTTAACACTTTTTCCTCCTGAGTCAAGCTGTCACCAATACACCAGAGCAATGACATACAGCTATTTCTGTTTTCTGCAAGAGATAACACCGTGTTCTTGACCATTTCAGGTAATTAAACATCTTACAGCACTTCTCTTGCTGCCTTTGATGTTACTGGAACAGACTCCCAATTTTGCTCCATTGAAAGGTCAACAGCCCTTTTGAACTACCTTGGTGCTCACATACCTATGAGCTGTTCATGCATATCTGGACACCAACTGTTGTTTTACAGATTTGTCTTCACAATGTCCCTTTCAAGTAAGGGAGGTATTATTCCTGTGAACAGAGTGGGAAGCAAATGCCAGCGATGATCAACTTGCTGCGCTCCATTAGTAAGTGATGCTGCTTGGGAGTTTTGCCCTAACATTTCCACCATCCACAGCCGTAATTCAGCACTACTAATGACAACTGCTTCAACTCAACTATACATACCCAAGTCTTTAGCAGAAAAACACCACTGAAAATAGTTTCATGAACTGACCAGGAAAGATTTGTGACCTTAATAGAGACTATAATTGATTTAATTAGAAACACGATTCTCTTCTACAGGGAGATGAAAGCACAAGGGCAAAAAAAGAGAGATTCATGATGCAGGAGATAATTTCATTATGTATCAACTAGGTTCCCACTTGGCGTATTCAGAGTTTTTTGCTTACCTTTAAAAAAAAAATCCACAATTTAGATCTGGATAATCTGAGAAGACAGTTCTAAACAATTGTTTTTTCATCATTTCTCCAAACTAAGTTACAGTATGTTGAAATATTTATCGTGTATTTTCATGAACAGAATTTTTTTCCTTTAACAGAAATGTCAATATCAACAACTGGGTGCATCTACATAAAATAAATAAATAAGCCTCTTGCAATGCATAAGGTGCAGAAATTGTGGAGCTGTTGGCACAGCAAATCCAGGCCTACTGACATGACTTGCTTGGGTAGCCAGCGCCACCCTCACGAGCCTCACTGTCCCCTGGACAGCAGCAGCCCCACACCTACGCATTGAGGGACCGGTGTCCCTTCTTGCAGGGAGCCAGAACACACTGTCAGGCAAGCTGGGCTTCCACCCAGCTAGCCAAGGGGATAACAAAGGGAATGGGAGCTGGCTCCCCTTTTATCTTCAAATACTCTTGCAATCAGCTGAAAACCTCCACATTTCTGCTTGTGAAGAAAAAACTAGAAACAGTGTATTTTACGTAGTTTCTAAGTTTTTGAGTTCTCCTCATGTAGTAGTGTGCAAATAAAACGAGAGCATAAGAAAGTGTAGAGCTAACCCCATGCACAGAAGTCCTGCTTTTATTTACAGCTTGAACCACAGAGGGCAGCAAACAAAAAGAAAATGAGCACTAAGGTCTACAAATTCACTGCCGCCTGGCAGTTCAAGGGAGGACTCTGCATTCCCTGTGCTACCAAGATCAATACACAGGCAATTGATTTTGCTTGGCTTTCAGATACAATTTTGCTGATGGACCTTTTTTTATTATCTTTCCTTCTAAGAGACTTAAAATCAACAATTCATTTTGACTTAAAAAACTGAACTTGGCTTAGTCTCACATCTCCCAAACTGCTTGAATAGAAGGTAAAAGCAATAAAGTAAATTCCCTTTTATGACTTGTCAGTCAAACCAAGTCACGTTCCTACACTCTATCCTTCACCTAGTCATTTAGTAACATTTTCATCACTTGCTGAAGATACACTACAGAAGACCAGTAAGTAACTTCACTCTTTTTGCTGTCTGCATCAGATGGTCAACACAGCACTGCATCAACATGCTCAAGTATAGAACACTGACGTCATTTAAAAAGATTACATTTATAGCACGCTGCTTTGCCTGTATATTTGATATACACAGGCAGACATTCACAGGTAATAGTCAAAAGGGGTAATGGTTATTATTTCTCACGTTCTTTTGACTTACTGAATGAGGATCTGCTGAATAATATTTCCCACTAACTGTTAGTTTTACACTGAATCTCATTTTACTATATTCTTCCCATGTTTCTAATCTCCACATTAATCACAACTATTTATAATGCAGTACCTATCTCAATAAAGGAAATACTGATCTTTCAAACCTCATCTGCCCTGATTATTATCATATAAAGTAGCTGTAAATATTTTTTTCTTTTTTTTTTTTTCAGATCATTTTGCCATCAAAACTGCAATCCTGTAGGCATGGAAATTATTTAATTTCAGAAAAAAAAATGTTAAGATTTAAAGTGCTGGAGAAACTCCCTTTGACTTTTTTGGTTTTGACAAAACTAACTAAGAATTTCCAGTTTAGATGCTGTAAATGTCCATCTTCTACAATATTAATGAACTATATCTATTTTTGTATTCCATATTTTGATTAATATTTTCTTTCAGTATCATCAGAACAATTTTTCAGGCATTAAAAATCAAATCTTTTCAGATTATCAAGATGAAAGACTTAACTCATGCAATACTGACACAGTTGAGAATTTGGAGTTTTCATTGGAATTTGGAACTAATGCTTTGTTTTCAGATGTCAGCTTTTCCTAGACACACATAAAAATTTTCAACCTATTCTGCTGATCATCCTTTAACAAGCGGTGAGTTTCGCTTTCCATGTCCCAGTCAATGAAAACAAGGAAAGCAAATGCTTTAGTGAAACCCAATCTTTTTCTTTTTGTATCATGGTCCAAAGGAAGTGTCTAAATACATAAAGCTAAACATCATCTTTATTAACAGCAGAAATTCCAAAGTGATAAAACTGTGATAGGTCTCTTCAACTATTTTTATATCAGCTAATAACATTACACTAGTGTCAGCACAGCCTTCATCTCCTGTATTCTACATTAATTCCTGCTTTCCAATCTTTTACAGCCCTGAATCATACATAAACAAAAAATCTCTCCATTCTGCCCATGAACAGAATTTCCTCAGCTTTTAAAATCTGTTGTACAAAGAGATGTTTCCTTGTATTTATATCAGTAAGTCTAAACTTCTAGCATAAGCTTCAGGTGATGATCTTGCTGTTGACTGATGCTGCTCAGTAAGTATGATGTGACTAAGGTATTTCTGCATGAAAATATTTTAAGAACCACAGAAAGCTCAAAATCCAACCTCTTGATCGAGAACAAAAAATAAAATGCGTAAGCAAGTTAAAAAAAAGGGTTCAGGAACAGCCAGGAAAGCTCACTTTTTTGTCATTTCATTAGTTCGCTAAAATAGAAAAACTGTATCTATGATCATACTCATCAGCACTGCAATTCCTGAGAGGGTTTTTTTTTCACATTACATTAGCAGAAAATGTAATTTATTAGAAAAGTGAGACCATTTTTGAAACAACACTGTGATTTTTTCTTATTTTTAATTTGAATCTGTTGTTATTCTTTGGCATTGGGAAGGCTGGTAAATGACCTCAGTGTGTATAACACAGCCATAGCAATCATAAAAGTGCTCAGAACAAATGCCATCACCTTTTAAATAAAATTACTTAAGTCCAGCTTCACAATAAGTACCAAATCCCATTTAATTATATTGATTAATTAGCAGTTCATATAGAAATGCCAATTTCCTCTTTGAAAAATGCATCAGTTCTGCAAGAACTTAATTTCACAGAAACATAGCTTAGTATTTCCTAGCTAATGAAAATTATATTCCTGTAAAGACCACAAAACCACAAGGAACAGGTGCTTAGTACAGGTGTTTCACACATACTACGTATTCTGGAATTCAATTATTTGCTTAATTTATTTCAAATTAGTAAAATAAATTCTGTGAACAAGCATGTAATAATACAGAAGCAAATAATAATCCAGTATTGATTACATAAACCCTTCTTTAAAGCTGGACTCCCTCAACCATTCCAACCTCGAAGTAAAAAACCAAGAAAAGAAAATATTGTTATTGATACATAACACTTTTCCTAAAATAAGGAAGTATTGCAATAGCACAAAGGTAAATTGCAGAGGCTGGGTGAATGTGTCTTACAGCAAATGAAAACTCCTGTTAATGGTCATTTTGCATGCATTAAGCATAGCTTTATCGGACGTGCTTGTGAAAACTCCACAATCACAATCATTCAGAAAGCAGGAATAAAGACTTCTAATTACATGTTAATGTACACGCAATAATCACAGAGTAACTGAGGCTGGAAAGGACCTCCAGAGGTCATCCAGTCCAACCTCCTGCTAAAAGCAAATCTAATCAGATCAGGATGCTCAGGGCTGTGTCCAGGTGAGTCTTGAACACCTCCAGAAATGGAGATTCTACAGCCTCACTAGGCAACCTTGACCAGTATTTGACCAAAGCCTCCTTAAGTGTACCACTAAGTACATCCTGAAAAGGCAAATAGTTTTATTTTTATGCATTAATTAATCAGATATGGTATGTGCTGTTAATACTGCTGACAATTTGTGCTGGAGATACCTGCCAATTAGAAAAAGCTATTTCCATTAATTCACAGTTCTGCTCATCATCCATTAGGTTTCCACAGTGACGGTTTGATTTCTTGGAAATACCAGAAGATCTAAGTTTAGCAAATAAGCCAAACTCACATTTTCAACACAACCAACAGGAACGAGCAAAGACAAACTGCTGCAAAATTATATTTGAAAGAGGACCTTCAACATTCATCTGAGTAGTTATAATCAGTGGTAAAATAAAAAGATGACCTCTCACCAAGGCTCTTTACTGTATTACCCATCCCACTTACGTGTCTTACCGGTCTTTCATGTTCAAGGATTGATGACTTTCCTGGCTCATATTCAAAAATGCTTCTTGGTTCGGAACGGAACTTGCGGGTATCTACCTTTCTGTCAGGGGGATCCCAGTCATTTCTAAATAACAAATATGAGCAACTGAGTCAATTTATTGTCATTGCCATCTGCTTTTCAGCTCTGTGCAAGAGAAACATGCAAACCCAAATGAATTTCAGCATGCTTTCTCCTTCCAGATTTCACAGTTGTGAAATGTCTGGCTTAGCACTGTACCTGTTTACAGCAGGAAAAACACTAGAGATGTCCAGCCTGTGTGTTTGCTCATACTTTTGTTATAACTGGTACCAGTTTAGAAACTTCCCCGACATACTGTGTCAAAACACCATGACACGCCTTCTCAAACTGTGAAATTACTATACTTGTTTTATGCACTATACTGATACAGACAAGTGGCAGATATTTTTGTCATCACACAATATGACAGTAAGTCCATACTGAAAAAGTTACAAAATTTTCTGTGACAAGAAATGAGGAATTATTTCAAAAGACAGTGAAAATCTAATAGATGTTCTTTATCCTGATCTGTCGTAGAACTGCTCCTGAATATCCTTGTAAAGCACCATACTATTTTCTTGGAAATTTGAATAGATAAACAAGAGTTTGGGATAGAAATTTATCCTTTTTCTCTATAGATATAAATTTGCTTCCAATTTAATAGTGCTATGCAAAGAATAAAAAGTAACCCCCACTACTGTATTTTTCAGTCATTTACCCTGTTATATTAATAGCTACCTATACATTTTGGGGGGACAGTTAGCTAGTTGCTATCACAGTGAGAGCTACCTTTTCATGGCAGTTTCTGTAGTCACTGCCTACACTGCATGTGGAAAACTGTAGCTTGCACATCTTTTTGTTTACCTCTGTGTAAAATAACCCACTAGTAACTCAAAGGAGGGAAAGGGGAAATCCTATCAGCTATTGTATGTATTTACAATAAGAAAGAGCACAAGCCGATTAAATTCCATCAGTTCTATCAGCCTTTCTGATGTGACTTGGTTTGATGTGACCTGACATAATAAGGCACACGTCACATGCCTGTAAAAAAAAATAAAAATCTATGGGGTAGCTTTTGTTTACAGTACCTTTGTGAGTGCAATTTCTGGGACACAGACACCTCTATTTATAAAATGCCCTACATTTCAAGGGAAGTAGTTCTACATGGCTCTATTGGTTATTTTCACTAAAGAAAAAATTAAGTTTCGGAGCAGAAAAGGTTGTATTTTTTTGAGAATGAACAGGAAAATGGAAGTGTTCTGATCAAGCTGCATTATACTGCAAGTCACTGAAGAAAAAAGGATACTAATGACCTTCTGATTCATACTCCGTTCACTTGATTTACAGCATTCAGCCTGTAATCCCTTATGGACTGTATTTTTGAGCCCAACTGTTAATGCAAACCATATCTTGCCTCCCAGCTATGAAACTGTGATACATGTGGACCTAAGCCTCTTATGTGAAATTTTAAATACTCAGGCTTTATAGGCAATTAAAAAAAAGAATATCCCAATGGCAGAAAAAGATTGATGTGCTGTAGCTGTCAGCAGCAGGCAAAGCATAACTAACGCGTTTGGCATTCCCTGGCCTGGAGAACATAGATTTCCACTGCCTGTCTTACCATTCAGGAGATTAAAAGGAGAGGCTAAACATCCAAATTCAGCGTTGAAGCAGTTATTTTCAAGCTTGACAAAAGGAACTGCAACAGGCCTCAGTTTCTGCAACCCAGGTATTTGACCTAGCACAGGATGATGACTCGTATAACTTCAGAGATCAAAGCTAAGCAGATCCACATTTTGGTGCCTTGCTAACAAAAATCTACCCTTCTGTATGACTTGCTAACAAAATGCAAACCTCAGGGCCTTTGGGAGGTAGCCCAACTCCAACCCCTACCATTTCCTCTTGACAACCTGCCCTTAGCGACAGGAGTAGCCCAAATCAGTAACCATCGAGCAATCTCATTTCCCTCTGCAATATGTGTATCTGCTGGATTACTTTTTGGATTGCCACTACCTACAAATTTTTAAAAAAAGCCACAGTCATAGCCTTAGCTTTAATCACTTAGTATAGTCTTTTCTCATAACATTTTATTCAAACTGTAAAGTGTTTGAAACTGTTTAATATAATCCAATTTTACATATAAAAATGATTACAATGTCCAAGCTGACAAAAATGGGCAAATTATTTTTTGTTGCTTGAATGTAACCAAGAGAGGGGGGCTTGTCGCCACAAATGCAATAAAAAATGACCCTTTTCACATATAAAATACATACACACACACACACAAATGTATAATAACAAATATTATACAACATGTAATATTAGTGAATGCAAATGCTAACGAAAAAGCTTTTTGCTTGAGCTAGTCACTGCAGATACGCTGAAGAATCTATAGAGTTTGTGTGCAGGGCACTTAGCGTGGTTTTATCTTTCCCAACCTATTAAGTATTAACCTTTTCTAGACTGGACTCTAACCACTGGGACCTGGTTTGTGCAGCAAGTTTGAAGCTGGAAAACCAGGAGAAATCTGAAATGCCCTTTTAATCGGTAAACACCTTCTCGGTCTACTAAATGGAGATGGAGATTGAAAAAGTGGGGATATAAAGCACTCCTGAGCTCTGGGGAAATGTGGGTTGACTGCTATACTCTTATAGTTTTGCTCTTCCTTGAATTTCAATTTACAGCATTTTTTAGATCCTTTCTCTTTGCCACTGGATACCATACTCAGAGACTAACTATTCAAGACAGCTGCTAGAGCATGGATTGTTCTGAAACACAACAAGCAGGACAATCCCACTAATGAAAATGAAAATCTTAAATGCTCATGGTGGTATCACCTGTAAGAATAAGCACTTCTTTAGCACGTTGAAGAAATGGCAGCATCATGCATGATGCACACACTACTGAGGAACTGATTACCCCTCATCACCTGACTGTCCCTTGAATAAAGCCCTTGAAGTCGTAGTATTCTATAGCTGCTATTTTATCCTTTGTGATATCTTGTAATTAGATCACTATGCATACCAAGAACACTTTTTGAAAATACACTAACTTACTTTTCTGGTATAGATCTTTCCCTCAGACGATGTGGTGGTACTGGAGGTGGCACATGCGGAGGTTGTAAAGGGGATGAGACCTTAAAGGCATCGGAGCTACTGTCAGAAGCACTTTTAGACAATGGTCTGTATGTCTGCGTCTTTGCAGCTGGGTGTGCCTGAGCAGAGAAGGATGGACTGTAGCTACCTAATATAAAACAAACACAGAAATAGTCACAGCATGAGAAAGTTGATATATAAAACTACAAACACACAGATAAAGTGCAGTATAGTTAAAATAAATTGATTAATTTGGAGGGGAGAGGGGGGAGTTAATGGCTGTATATATCCATCAAAGCTGTTAATGACAGCCTGTAGTTAATCCCCAGGCTCATCCTTCATTTTCAAATGAAACAGTTGTTCTATGTTCAGGAGGAAGAGGTGAGGCAGGAAATGCACTTTTTTTTGTTTTCCCCACTGTTTTAATAATTACTGTTAGTCTGGGACAACTAGGCAATAGTGTATCTTGAAGAGGATCACAAGAGTCCAAACAGATCTCAAAACAACTGACCCGCAACAAATGCTCTCAACAGTACAGAAAAAGGCAGCATGAGAACATGTCGAATGCACCAAACACTGAAATGGAAGAATTCTGAATGGCATTTTTGCACAAGGCACTATGGGTTTTTTTGCACATATAGTCTATTCACACTTTCATTTTTTTTATAAATAATTTTAGTAAATGGTTCTAATCTTCTGAAAGACACAACACTTCTATATCTGAGATGAATATGTCTTTCTTGCAGCTAAATAACATCAACACCGGTGCCTACAGCAAAAATGAACAAGATCATAAAACAGAATAATCTTTATTAGGCACTCTTACTGCATATTTTAAAAGGTGTTTTCAGTGCAACCTTTTTTTCTTCCCATGTCAGTAATTAGCATTTGTACTTTCACACAGTAGCTCCCTTTTCATTTTGATAAGGCTGCATTACCCACAACCACTAGTGAAAATAAATGCAGTATTACAGTGTATCCCATCTGCAGTTAGAGGCCCACAGCTGCAATTCATTTCTGTTGTAAGAATGAAACAAAAATTAAACTTTGTTTCATTTGGGAAAAAAGGCATGAAAAAACACCAACTGAGATCAAAGATGATGATAAAAAGTGTTTATATAAGCATTATAAAAGCAAGCATGAATAGTTAACTACCCCTGTTACTTGCTGACATTAACAAAAGACTCATTCTGAAGTGAGGGAATAATTCGTACCAGTACTGTATGCATATGCAGTATTATACATGTCTGTGTCGTCATCTACAAAAAGAAATAAACATGTTACAGTATTGCAATACATGCCAGTTTATCACAGCAATGCAGCTTTGGTTTTGCAAATACAAACAGCAGATCGGTAGGCAATCAAGCTCTGTATTTCTTTTCCTCATCTCATAGGTGTTTTCTGAAGACTCTCTCTTCCCATTATGCTTACCGTAGGCTATTTTTACCATCTTATTGGCAAAATGATATCTTCTGGTCACATCACCCACTTTGTGTATTTACTGGTTAGCACCAAATTGCAAATTATAGCTTTTTGTTTCTTCTCCTCCCTTTCCCAAGCTCAATTTCTTCTTTTTGTCAGCTCTCCTCTACTAGAGACTATTAGGTTGTCGTTGCTATCACAAAAAGCAACCTCAAATGTCTACTGTTTGACTAGCGTTCAAAATAGATCTTGTAAGCCAAAATTTTCCTGCTTACATTTTTTATTCTCCCACTAACATTCTGTGTGCCCATACTGAACGCAAGCTCTACCTCAGACGAATAGTCTCCTTCCTTCTGAAGGTGTAATGAGCATAATTGCTGTTTATACAGTTTCTTGACATCCTTAGTGACAATCATGATAAAGGACGTTAACTCTAAAGCTAGTAATATCACCAAAGCTCCATTTAATCAAAACCAAGTAAGACATTCTATGAAAAAAATGCAATTCAGACAGAATTCAGACAGGCTCAAGACAGCCCGTTTACTAGCCCATGCTGTTCTAACACATGAGCTCTCCCCAAAGAAAGCTGGTCTGGTAGGAGATGTACAGTGGCCAATTTCTCGTACTTCAAACTGGAGATGAGGATCGTTTTACTGAGCTCCCCAGTGACATGGAATCATACTGGTGGTATACCTATCCTAATCACTTCAATGTTTATTTAGTTTTAGTAATAAAAAAAACCCATTAAAAATGTTCAGCCTTTAGCAGAGGAAAATGGCACGCTCTGCAGTAAAATCTATCATTGAATTTGCCTGTTTGATTTGATTCATTATCTGACACTTGGCGAACACTTGTATTTTCACATAGGAGACAATCAAAATGCAGAAAAGTGCATTTTTAAATACCACCGAGAACCACCCAGCCAAGACAAAAGCATACTTACCAGGTTTATGAACCATATGGATTTGCTTGAACATTGTCTTGTACCAATCCTTCGGCCTGTCAACTGTCTAAATAAAATACAGTTTTTAACAATTAACAAAAAAATAAAAGTACCTGCATTTACAGATCTGATCAGCCATGTAATGTTATTGTGGACACAAAGACTATTATGTTTTGTCCCCTGTTTATGATAATCAATTTTATACCATCTATTTCAAATGGTGTACTTATGCCTTTCACCTAGGAATTCCTGTAACAAGTTCTGGAAGATATTGAAGACTGAGTCAGTTTGGACTCTGATCTTGAAGGGTACAACAGTTAGGAACATAGGAATTAGTGTCAGATCAAGAGTTTATCTTCTTAGTGCCCTACATTTGATAGTGATGAATGTTAGATATTTTACATGAAAACACAAACATCTCAGCAATTCCAAGCATGGAAGAAGACATTCTTTTGAAATCCTGGCAATTTCCAAATTAAATTATCTTCAAAATGTAATTGTTAAATAATGCAGAAAAACTTTGAATTACTACTGAGAAAAGAATTAGACAACACTGTGTTTGAGAGTTAATGTTTAGATTGTAAACAAACGGTATTTCCTTTTATCAGTTTTAAATTCCGTTTCCAGGCAACTGAATTTTAACTTATTTTTCTATTTTGAGAAAAGTAAATACAATATACCTTTCAATAACCACTCATTAAATTATACTTATCCTTACTTTTGTAAACTGAGCAATCCCAAAGTTCCCAAATTTTCCTCATATCAACATTTGCTCGTGCTTCAAACTATTTTTATTTCCTACCCTTCTGCGTTTTCTCTTTTCTGCAATTTTCTTTGAGATAGGATGATATTATTTCAGAAAAGGAGACAACACAGAGGCAAACATGTTTTCAGTATTCTTAGGTCCTAAAATGTTACTTGTTCCCCAGTAGTCAGCAAAGCAAAAGCTTTTTAATGCAGATGTACAAAATTATCTTCAAACCTCATGGTGCACAGGAGTAACTCAAAAGACTCCTCTTGATGTGCATTGTCTTGCATTAGCTAATACCAAATCTGCAACCATTCTGCCCTCTCCTCTTTACCAGGAAGAGTGAAAATGCACAAATTCCTCTCTACACAATAACTGACAGATCTGAGTGTATTCACCTGGCTCCACACCACCTCTTTAGTGAATCACATTTTTGCCCTAAAGACCCGCTTGCAAGATAGAAATGAAGGCTAGAGTTTTGTATCAAGATCAGGTCCCTTCCCCTACCTACCAATGCTCCTGACTTCTGCCCAAGAGAAGACATTCAGAAGCAGATTTGACCACTTTAACATTGCTTCCCTAAAGGTATTAAACTTCTACGCTACCTGAACTCTGGTAAGAATAATTTCACTGGATTTGAAATAAATATGCTGTTTGGTGCTCCAAGATCATAGATGTTCAAAAGTTTACAAGGAAGTCCAGAAGGTCTGAGGGAATTCATGCTGATGGGTATAACCTCCATGGTACTACTTCATTTCCCACAGCAGTACAAATCTGCAGTGGTCCCATGATACCACAACTGCCTTTCTGATTGTATTAGGCCAAGAAGAGTCTTCCAACAGAGCTCGAATCAGTGACAGGTGAATAGACTGGAAACTGTGCATAAATATTACTGCTGTAACCCTACTGTTTGTCAAGGGACAAAGGTGCATAGATATCTCTTTGACGGATACTCCTTATCAGTCAGGTCCTCCACAAATCCACAGGATGCTTCCACATAGAGATGAGGTATGGAGAAGCTCCCATGTGACCAAAGAAGGTCTCCCAACATCTTCCTGTACATTTGAATGTTTTTCTCTCATCATCTCCCCCCTGACCCCCACCCTGGGGTTTAAAGCCTCAGCCAATAACTTGGCTTCACATTATAAGCCAGACAGGACTAGTTAAGGAATAGAACAAATTAATTCTAAAATACATTTTCTCAATTTATATTCAGTAATCCCACATACCAACACTTGTTTGAGGAATTAGCAGTATTCACAACACACCAAACCATTCAGATGCCATCCTGCTTTGCAAACATTATAGTTGTTGCAGTTAAATGTTGGAACATGATATCATCGTATGTGAATGAACAATCAGCCAGATAGAGTGAAGTGGACATAAGAAGTACCTGCAGCTGGTAGTTAGGAAAGTCCATAATCATTGCAGTATTCTAATAATCCATCAGAAAGTATGCAATCAAAGGAGGCATTTATGACTTTCAGTGGACCTGTGGTTTTTTTTTTTTTCTAGCTGAATTTTTACATCACTAAGTATGGAAAAGGAATCTGGTAGGACTTGATTTTTTTTTTTCATTCTTAGTAAATAGAGGCCTTTTCAGTCTACAGATTAATTTTAATCATTAGACATGAAGCGATCATTTTGGATAGTCTAAAACAGTACGGTCATACTGCTTTCCATGAATCTGTTTCCTCCTTTATTAGGACCCTGTCAGTGCTAAGCTTTGGTGGTGCCATTTGACTGAACGCTTTTCTGAGTGAACAGCATTCTACTCTCTCTTCTCCAAAGACTTCATTTTTCATGTCTTGGAATTTCACCATCTTTGGGGCAGGGCTTGGCACAGTGGCAGAAATTTCAGGCTTCAGACTTGTGCTTCCAAGAGCTGGCAGGACCTAAAGTGGTATCGGAGGGAACATGCTAACATGGGATGAAGGTTCTGAGAGAAGGGAAAGCTTTCTAGCAATCCTTCTCCCCTCTCAGCAGCTTTGGACAGAGAGGGTTTGCAGGAACAGAAAGAGAACATCGCTCTGCTTTCCTTGGCTAAACAGCTGTCGCAAACCATGTTCTGAGAGTAAAGACGGACTTGGAGGAGATAACCACAGACCGAAAAAATCTCTCTGGTCCTGAAAAGCACTCCAAATCTGGAATATAGATACTCCCATAGTACCTATTTACTTACCTTTGAGTAGCATAGTGTTTCGGAACACAGTGTGTGTGTTACCTGTGAATCTGCATTTACTGCTTTTTTGATAGACTGTTGCCATTTTCATAAAGATGGAAGAATAAGAAACTTTTAAACTTTGCATGCAATGATAAACTCAACTAATTTGAAAACTTCTTTCTCTCTTCAGATGGAGTGAGGCTGAACTTTCTGGGAGAAGATTCCTATTTGGATTACTCACTGACCTTGGGGAAAGAGCAAGTGATATATCCTACCTTCTACTGTTCATGAGAAATGCAGTTATAGCACTTTTGCATGTTTCTGCATAGTACTGCATTTGTAAGAGGTGTCAAGGGGCAGCATGTTTGAGTCTTTTGCTGACCATCACCTTTGTTCTTACATTGCTAAGGTACATGGGGCTCAAATATACTTGTGCACATTTAAAATATAATCTCAAATCACTATCTTGAAAACAATCTCACTTGCAACCAAGTCCTAAGGAAGCAGAGTTAAGGACACAAAGTGACACATGAGAGACCCCCCCACACAGATGCTAGCATAATCTTTTAACTCAGCTCTCACTGTGAGAATAATTTCTGTAATACTAAGTTTACAAGCTATAAGATATTTTGAAATTGAAACACAACAAAAAGCAGAGCAAATCCAGCTGAAAAATGTCCTAATTCAAATTACATTATGTTTTCAGGAAAAAATCTGAGACACTCAGACCACACAATCAGAAAGTAAAATACAGGCTGGCAGATTGCCAACTCTGTGAAGCACACTTGAGAAGGATTTGCTATAATCTTATATAATTGATATGCATCCTATTAGATCAATCCGCTACTAAAAAACCGAACAAAAATCACTACTGTATCCTATATAAAGCATAGGGACATATTTACTTAAAAAAAGGGTAGGAAGCTAGAGCACTGATGCGAAGAAATTGTTAATTTTTAAAAGATTCTGATCTTACTACTTTTTATGTCAAAAATAAAGCAAGAAATGCCAGTTTCCCCCCATTCTTACCAAAATTGTCCCCATCTTACCACTTATTCTGAATTTTTCCTACTGCTTTTCTCCACCAGTTCCTGATTTTGTCCCTAATTGTTCAATCCATTGAAGCAGTTCTTGGCAATTACAAAACAGCCCCATACGCCAGTATTGGCAGAGAAGATACATCCAACATCTGCTACATCCTTGCACCTCACAAAGACTTCACCTGCAAGGGCTCTGCCGCTTTCATCCTGGCTCCCACTCTTCTTAATCTTTCTCCGACTAGCACAGCACCTCTTCTCTGGCTGGGAAGGCCAGCAAGCGCTTCCTTTACAGACCTAGTGCGGCTGCCACTGTGCTCTCCGGACCAGCCAGAAGAGGCTGCCCTGACAGCAGAGTGGAAAGAATGCTTCAGCATAGTGAAAACAAAACTCCTCAGTTTGACGTCCTGGGACCACTCAAGCAGCGACTAGCGGCAGATGATCAAAACTGGGCTACTCACAATGAAAGGGTTTCCACGCTGTTTGTTTACATGTCACTCAAGGGCACAATGATTATATATTGCACTTCCACAAAAATACTAGTCACTTAGATTATTATTAGAACAAAACTGTTCATTTCTACACTACCCTGATGACAGGGGAACCAATGTCTCCCAAAATGCAGAAGGGTGAGATTTTTACACACACACACGCACGTATATATGTATACTTGCATGTATGTATATATGTAGTATATATAAAATTCATTTTAGAAATGGCAAGACAAATGCAATTACTGCGTATCTCCAAAAGGCAAGAACTACCAGAGAAGTAAGAAAGAGACACAAAGTTTTGGCTACTTCTAATTAAAGCTAGAAACATGAGGTTGCCCAATTATGCTCCCATCAGCATTCTTCTTTTCCGTCAACACACAATATTATATTCATGAGCTCGCTGATTACGCACACTGTATTCCACATTATATAAGACTAGAAGAATGTGAAAAACCCATTACCAACAATCAATTCATTGTATGAGTTCATACACAGATTCCCCAGAATTTCCTACCGTTCTAATTGCTGTAGGGATTCCAGATTCATCTACCGGGCCAATCCCTGCATAATGTGGAGCTTTAATGACTGTAATTTTTTTTTCTTCTTCTGAGGATCTACAGATTGGTATTGTACTGGTGGTTGCACTGCTGCCAACAGTCTGAACATGCTGTGAGTAGGTCTCTGTGGACTCTGTAAAGATAACATGACAGAATATTGTATAAAGATACAATAATCATACTTGGCAGTTGTAACACTCTTCCCCGTTTCAGTATTCTGTACAAAGATCGACGACAGTTTTAACCACATACATACACAACACAAAAAAATCCTCTTACCTAGGGCTTTGCCCTGCTTAATGTTACATTAACAGAATTATAAACTCATTTAATGACTACATGGGCTCTTTGACTCAGATCTTCCTAGATTAGAGGTACTTTTTCGCAGCATCTTGCTCACAAAAAAAAAAAGGAAAAAACCCACAAACCCAGTAAAATCTATTGAGAAATAGTGACAGCAGCCTTTCTCCCATAAATCAAACTCTTGCACCTTTCCTATCCATTCTCTGAAACTAGCAATATAATTTCAAAACTCCCCCTGCCCCAAATCTAGCAAAATATAGAAGATTGCTGTGTTGTAAGCACAGCAGATTCCAAACAGCCCTCCACAAAGGCATGTGATATGTGTATAGAAACATTAGGTTTTGATGCTCAAATACTTTTAAAAAACAGATTCTGACATATAATTTTTGCCCCTTTAAGTTATGTTGGTATGTTTAAGTGCCTCTATATATAATCCATAAAAACGGACCTCAGTAACTTGGCATCGGTAGCGCAATCTGATGATCCACTTACAATTCTTTAAGTGAACTGTGCAGGCTGTTTTGTGGTGACTTGCAACATTTCTATCCCTCTCTCCCTAGTCTTTCTTTATAATTAATGAAATTAACATGTCACTATTACCAATTCCCTCTAAAATTCAGAGTTGTTTATTTAACAAAAACCACCTCACTGCTGGGATAAGTCATGTGAAAATTTGTACTGCTGCAGATGATGTACTTCTCTCCTGCACGCAGGAAAAAAAGCCCTGCTCCTTCAGGCAGCATGTTTCAGTAAATTAGCTGCTATGACAAAGCATCTTTTTTTGTAAGAACAGGTACAGTGCTTGTGAGACATTTTCACAGCAGGATAAATGAATGTAGGGAGGAAAAATAAACATTCTAATACTACTGGTGAAGATTACAATTACCTTCTGTGTGACATTAACATCCATTGATTCTTCTGAAGCAAGGTACTTGAATTGTAATATAAATCAGCAAAAGGACCTCTGGTGACTGAAAGCTCTAATTTTAATTTGAATATTTCTGCTCACTCCTACTGTAGAGAGCTGTATTTGCCATGGCTGTTTCAGCTGTTTACTCAAGTTTGAAATCTTGTAAATAATCCAGTGCTATACATATATGGCGTGGGGCAACTCTGCATGGCAAATGTCTGAATATTTGGGCCTTTTTCCCAAAATGCACGATGTTAAATTTAGAAAACATTTTGGATTTGATCTTTCATTCTTCGTAAGCCTTGAACTGAGGCCATGAGTGGGATTTTTACATGAGCAATGAAAATTAGCTGTTACTGTGGAACACAGAACTTCAGCATCATACAAGAGTAAAAATTGTGGGAAACCACTTACTTCAGGTATATCCAAACCAGAGTTGATAAGCCTTTAGATCAGCAAACTGGAAGCAATCAAAGAATCTAGAGTTCTGGGATGTGGAGAAACCCATGTATATTGGTTTTGTACTTATTACTATCATAGGGATAGCAGCATTTGTCTAAGCTGTAAGTCTCAGACTGAGAACTATCACCCAATTTCCCTGCATGCACAACAAAAAAGTAAACTCCAGGATCATGTTCAAACCATTTTGCATGTATAGCCTTATCTGAATGTGCAAAACACTGGTAGAAAAAGCAGCAAACAAATGATTGTTCTGGGAAAACTTGATTTTACTGGCAAACCTCCCATCTAAGGCTGATCAAGTATTTTTAAAATAAAAATTAACAATGTCCTACAAAAAACCCCCATAAAGAAATTATAGATTGACATGGCTTTAGGCGTTTAAAAGCCTAGAGCCCCACCCTTTGTTGGGAGTATTTCTATTGAAGATTATGAAAGCTGTGGGGAGAACCATTGTACAAATTTGGCCCTTAGTTTCTTAAAGAAGGCAAAACCTGAAGGGGCTGCACAGATTGAGTTGTTTTGATATATGGTCTTTCCTCGGCAAAGCTAGTAGAAAGGTAGCAAGAGATCACTTCCACACACATAAGTAATAGAATTTAATAGTAACTGAGGTTCAGGATCACTACCATATCTAACAATAAATGCTATTTATTTTTTTGTGTTTACTTCCCAAGGTACATTAACAGACAATACCTTCATTATGGGTGTGAAGCACTCTGCAATTGTTTGCAACCTTTGCCACATGAATTGGAGTATGTCGTGTAATATATAAAGCAAACATTCTGTTTATTTAACAGAATGTGTTAAGCTGTGTGAGGCTTACCCATCATCCTGCCATGCTGCATGATAACAACGTTGGAATTGAGCGAGGCTGGTGGAGGGTAAACTGAAGAAGGGGAAAAAGGCCTTTGAAAGTGACTCACTGGGCTGGCAGCAGTGCCAGAGTTCCCATTCACTGTGATCTGAGCCTGAGAGAAACAAAACAATATCCCATTAAATTACACACAAAGCCCTCCGACTGCCATCCCAAACAAAGAGTGATGCAAGACTGTCATCCACACAACAATTGCCAGTTGTCAGGTACCTAGCCATAATGGCATCTGCATTCACTGAAATACAAAACTCATTGCAAGGGGAGCAGAATGTGTTCCTTCTATACCTTGTACCTCCCCCCTTCTCTCCTTGTACGTGCTGCCTATGAAGCATGCTGAAGTCACGGGAAGGTGACAGAAAGACCATGGTCAAGTCAATGAAGATGGCACAAACAAGGTCTGCAGAGGTCTGCCAGCAACATAAGATGAAGATGGCAGTAAAAGTTCCTCTCACTGTGTGACAAAGGCTGCGTGCCACAGACCTCTCACTCCAAGAGACATATTCCTTTAATGCATATGCTCAAGCCTTATTGATATTATTAGGAACTTCTTTGCAGACCAAAGGGAAAAGGCTCATTAAGACTAGCTAAGGAGACCGAGCCAAAGCTTCTTTAAAAAATGGAAGCCAGCTGGAGTGACTATGGGATGCTGATATGTATTCTATCACAATAAAAATAAATAGCATCAATAAAAATAACCACAACCACAAAACAACAGAACAAAATCAAATAACTAAAATGGGAAAGCTAAGTAAACTGCTAGTATAGCAGCATCACGAACCATTTAGGCTTTAATCACAAGACATACTTCTGCAACAATTTGCTTCCCTGCCCCCAGAGGTTTGGAACCCCACATCTGGGCTGTAGCACTTTCACGGGGACTATTGCAAGGATCAAACCAGAGATACTGAGAAAGCATTGAATGAAACGAGAGGGCAGTGAATATTACAGGAGCAAAGGGAGGGAAGCTCTCTGTAACACCTCTTGACACAGGACCCTTTAAATCTGAACAAAATGAAATGGTTCATGACCTCTCTATACATTTTGATTTTGGAAATTACTGATTCAATTTTAAATTTTTAATGTCTTGGCCTCCAAAATCTAAGAGAGCAAAACAAATTCTGTCTCCTATGCAGACATCATGTGAAATCCTAGATGCATTCAGGGGTTTCTCATTTTAAGGATACCTGTTTTCAGAACTGAGCTGAGAAGTTTGGGTAGTGGTGATGTCTCCATTAAAACTTTTGTGTTTAAATGTTTCCTCTCTTAATAAAGTTAAGAACCAAAACGTAAACTAAGTTTGCTTTTCTCACACCATCCTCCCCTCCAAAAGAATGTGGAGCTGTAAGAATATAAAAGCTACACGAGCTCAAAGATAGCATTTCAAGAGGTATGAAGCCCTGTTTTCGGATGAGGTTCCTAGATGAGGCCAGCCATCTCTACCCTACTTCAGGGGTTCATCTATTCTCTTTTCTGGCATATCATGTTTTTGGGAAAGCTTGTTTCTAGGGAAGGCAGGGTGCAACTATGTCCAGAATCTTATACCTTCTTACTCATTTACTACGGCTTTTGTTTCTCTGAAGAGTGGAGCAGAACTAGTGGGAATTCTTTGTAGACTGGAAAGCTATTCCTATGAATTTCTGTAATAAAAAAGTAAGATATTCCTGTGATGGGCTTTACCAAATAGCTAGGTTAGACAGACACTAAGTAGTACACAATATTATGAAAACACCCACACAAGTAGCTGATGGACACCAGTCATAAATGTCTATGTGGCATGTCCATATATGACATTTCGGGGTTTGCTTCAAAAGGTTTCAGAGAGGATATCAGCTCAGCTATAATTTCTTAGTTCCTGATGACTTTCTCTTTGAGAAAAGTTTCTGTGAAGGTGGCTATTGCATTTATTTATCTGATGCACCTTGCACTAGTAAGAGGGTTAGCTCTAAATGACAGGTTTGCAAAGCTTCAAGTTCCAAGGGCCTTTTCCTGCCCCGTCATCATTTGGGAGCTACTGACATTTCAATCTGAGCATGTGATGCTTTAGTTCCAGGTGACAGAGTTTGTTCCCAGATTTTATAAGGAAGTGAAATCTTTAAGATGCCTATTTGTGGATTAAACCTTTTACTTTTCTAGATAATTGCCTTTGTGGGAAAATAAGATGATACAGAAAACAACTATTTCACCAGAATGCACATATTTCCTAACTTACTGGGAAGATAATCCTCATCTCTTTCATGCTGCTCATTTCCCTAGGGTCCTGTTTATTTTTTTTCTCCAGTATACTTCACCTGTGCTCCACTGCTAGCAGAGCCACCTACTTCTGCTGCTACGTAATCAAATTCTTGTAAAGATTCCTCCTAGGTACCAGGTCTAAACTTCTTTTAATTTGCCTGAGCATCAGAAAGAGCAGAATTCTGGTCTTCTGAATCAAAGCGGAGAAAAGCATTTATTTGGGACTGGAGCTGCTTTCTAACTTTCTGCTGAGGCAGGCAGCAAAGGGCAAGAGGTCCCATTACAGATGTCTGAGCAGTTTTGTGCAAAAATGCTGCAGCACAGCACACCCCTGGCCTCAAGGCATTGAGTTAGGCTGAAATACTCAGGGATCAATTCTTGAAACTCGAGATAGTCCTGGAACCTGAGAAAATGCAAAATCTAATGTGTACTTCCATTTTTCCAAGTTTCCATTTGATTCCACAATTCTAAACTACATAAACAAAAAGAACCCATGAAAATTACTTCGTAAGGGAAATGTTCATAATTGGAATAGAATCAGAAAAAGTAGTTTCTAAACCCAGCTGTTCTCTGATTTTAAATCAAATTCTAAGCATAAGCCCAAATAAGAATTATAATTCTCATACTTCAGGTTTTCGAAGAAGCTGTAATCTGTGACTAAAAGTATGGCCAATTAACCACAGTTTTCTGTTTAGCTCTGCCTTTTGCCTAGATTTTTTTCCAGTTTTGTTGATTCAGCTCTTCCTGATGCCGTTTCTTCTTCTCAGAAGATCCACTGTAAAACCTTTTTGCCTAAGATCTCATTAAGGACCTCAAGAACAAACAAACACTCCCAATGTGGACATCGTGTCTTTGAAAGTGTGGTTCCGTCTTATGCAGGCACAGTGCTGGATGGCACAGTCCTGTATTACTTTTATCGGTCTCTCAGAGGTTTTCATCTACAAAACCAACAGGAGTCTCCTCTGAGAATGAAGATCATTACAGGAGTAGAGCCACTAGCGGTACACATGTGCGTGTCACCAGCTTCCCTGTCATTTCCTCATTTCACAGATAAATTTATAGTCATCTGGCCCTCCTTTACAGAGGATGGGAGACAAAGACTTTTCTATACTGCAGAGGTGGGCCTTGCCAGCAGTTTAATTTCTGTGGGGCTCTTAGGACTGTTTGGGGATTTTTGTCCTTTGGTGGGAGACTCATCCTTTCTCTTTGTCCACCAATGGTGAACAACTGCTACGCTCGTTCCCTGCGATGCCTAAGAGAGAAAGTGGTGGTCAGATCTGACCGCTACAGGGAGACTACCCAAACAAGGAAAGAAGGAAGGACTGTTCACTTTAGCTTACAAAAATGGTGCTCAAAGAAAACAAATACATTTGGCTGATTATTTTAGAAGTAGAAGAAAACAGAAATGTTCCATACTTCCCATAGCTAGTAAATGGTCATGTAGTGATTGTGCCTTATTTACATGTACCAGTCTATACGGATTATGGCATCTTTGGTTACAACTACTGGGTGTATGCAGATTCACAGTATTGAATCTTTAAAACAAAACAAAACGAAAGGTTTCAGAGCTGTGTTACAAGAGTTAGGAATAACAGCTTTTACATGCCTGTTATTAATATTATTTTAACAGCATCCAGAGCACTGACAACAGATTGTTGACTTCCCAGGTGTCTGCAAATTTAGGCTCAAAATACTTTTTATAAAATATACACAAAACTTTAAAAATATATACCCTGTTTGTTCTTTTCAGACTTGAAAATGATAGCATGCTTAAGTATTTGTACAAAGTTTGAACACTGCTGTGACCCAGTAAAACTCTGGTCTCAGAACATCTCTCTGTTTTGTAATTCAGCAACAAATTGCTCAATCTAAATGAAGGCTTTGTTCTGACTAATTTTAATCATGCAGATAATCTCAAAAGAAATAAGAAGTGATCTGGATTTGACCCAAATTCCATACCTTCTTTCTACCCATATATGAGTGTACTAAAGTACAGAAGAGTGAATGTACACGTAAAATGCCTAATTGCATACTGGTTTTTTCTTTGACTTAGCCAAGAGACAAGTAACAGGACACTTGGGTACTACAAGATTATTTATGAAGGTCACTCCTGTAATAAACTGCTTAGGAGAGGAAAAGGTTAGTTAGAGGAGAGAAAAACAGTTTTGTGCAGTCAGTGGTCATGGCTGAGGAAAAAAGTGCGTTACATATTGCCAACATTTACTATGAATTTGCAAGTTACATTATTGAAATCTTTACCTCAGTAGAAGGTGGTAGCCCAGAGGCTACAAACTCCACAAACCTGTACGTTGCTAACAGTATTTTAAACAGATCTCTTCAAGCTCTACAGACCACTTGGTTTTAATGCATTTGGAACAGATATTTATTGATTTTTTTTTCATTTATTTTAAGCAAAGCGTTTGATACACCTTAGCTGACCATACAACTGTGCAACAACTTAGTATCATTTTCCTATTACCAAATCTGCTATGCAAAACATACTATCAGACTGCGAACACAGAAAACTACTAAAGGAATAGTTGTCTGTGTAACGGGGTAACAGACAAGTTTGTATTTTTTCCCCTTTGACAACCTGTTTGAACAAAATGGAGGAGGAAAAAAGGAAGCATAATTACATGAGAAGTGGCAGCAGTGTTGGTTAAGGTGGTGCCATCTGACACAGCAGACATCTGGCTCAAGGTTGGGGAAGGTGTTTCAGAGCAGTCAGTAGTATCATAGCTACAAGTCTGCAGCTCATCTAGAATGGCTGTGGAGGACTCACTCACTGTGCGGGAGGAGCACTCACTCATGGCAGAATCTGTGCTTACAGAGGCCGTTTCGTTCCTGTGGATAATACTTTCA